TTATTTAATATTAGGTGTATTTATATAATAACTTTAAAAAGTAATAGTAAAATTATACAAAATCTTAATTATCTCAGGATCCTGTAATTGGATTTTGATGATTTTAGATTCATTAGAACCGTCTTATCAAGACCAACATTTTGGTAATAAAATTATTCAAAATAAATCAATATATCAAAAGTTATTAGCAATTCCATAAATCAGCTCATATGGTTTGTATTTACTATATATTATTTTAGCTCTGATGTATATATATATATATATGAAATCACAATAGTGTCAATTTGAGTTAGTACACAATTAGTATAGTATATATTAATATATATATATATATGTATAACAATTTTAAACCTTCCTTATATATGTAGAATCTTTATTTTTCTTTCAATAGTATATATATATATGTATCTAAAATGAATTTATTGAAAACAAAAATCAAAATAATATTACAATATAACCAAAATATATATAGATCTTGGAAATATTATTATAGTGCTATAGCACTATGGTGCTATCCCTATGATATAATTAATTTAGTTTAATAATTTAATTTAAATAGTTATAAATAATAGTTAGATAAATAAACTTTCATATAGTTATTTACTTACTTTTACAAAGTCGTAATTATCAGACATGTGCCTCATAATCACAACCACTATTAGATATAAAAACAAAGCAAAAAGTAAATAGTAGAAAGTAGAAGGTTATAGGTAGTATTGATAGTTAAATAAGTATATATCATATGAATTATATAATAGTCGAATTAATATAAAAGATCAATGCAAATAAAAAAGTTAGTTTTTTGCTTTTAACAAAGTAGTAAAGAATAAGCGAACAAATTATTTATGTGAGTGTGATATATATTATAAGTACACGTTATTTCATATATATGACTTATAGTAACTGCTAGATTTAAACTATACTATATATACTATATAAGACTTATACTTCTCATCACTAATAGAAAAACATAATTGTAACCAAACTGAATTTAACTTACTATATAGTAGTAGTGAAGATGTTCACCATGAGGAAACTCAAATGAATATGGTGTTTTATAGCCAAAACTAGATAATAAATGACTTATTAAATAACAGCAATTAGACTAAACATAGAACTAATATATTAAATTTTGATAACACTCACCAAAATAAATTTCAAGAGAATATACTGTAATCGAAATATTTAATTAGTAGGTTAAGCGGGTTGGGTTTTTAAGAGATTTTAGTTTTTTTTATTATAGGATAAGTATTTGAGGCATCCGATTGCTGCCTCTACAAAGATCTTTTTACATGTCTTTTTATACAATTCGCATTCACTAACACTTAATCTTCTATTTTTTAGATCATTTTTCCTTTGCAATCATGAAACTATTTACTGTAGGTTATGCATTTTATGTATAATGATTGTATGTGTAATGAATTATGCATAACGATTTAATGTGTGACAAAACTAGATAAATAGTTACGGGTGGCATAACGATGCTTAGAGTGATAACATACATGTAATAGAATAAATAAATAAAAAAAATATAGAATAAAATGTCTATAGTAAAGCGAAAGGGTTCATCAGTATCACGTGACTGCCACGTCGTATGAGCCCTATATTACAGGAGCGACCGTCGATGTTACACAACTAATTTTTCACCTGGTGTGCAACATATAAAAAAACTATTTTACAATACCAGATCATTCCGACAGTACATGTTATGATTATAATCCCACACCATTTTTATTATTAAAAATGGTGTGGGATTATAATCATAACATGTACTGTCGGAATGATCTGGTATTGTAAAATAGTTTTTTTATATGTTGCACACTGGGTGAAAAATCAGTCATGTAACATTGACGGTCGCTCCTGTAGCCCTATATGCGTCATGTTATTAATTGAACTTCTTTTTATTTTACACCTCACCCTCTTTAAAAAAATGAGGTCCTCCGAGTAATACCAGGTACCTATTTGTACTATGTTACTTCCTAAGCTGCTATTTTCTAGCTTTATAAGTATATTGTCGGTTCCCATGCAGGTCTTTTGTGGTAGAGTTTTAATTAGTTTGTATTCACTAGGTTTTTCAAAATTTTTCAGTCTTCTGTTCGTAGCTTATACGTTCCCGGTGCTCCGTGGTCATGAATAAAGTAAGGGCCCTTCTATTTTTCTCTTAGTTTATCGCTATATACTTTTTCTTTGGCCGATTTGTATAATAGAACCTGATCGCCTATTTTAAACTTTACCGGTCATATGTCATGATCATAGTATTCCTTTTGTCTTCATTGAGCCTCTTGGATATTACTTTGGGCTTAAAGTCTCTGTTGGTGCAATTGTTCTGTAATTTTCTTAAGGTGTAGTTTCAATAATTGTTCTAGGGATGTTTCTGAGACCTCTTCCTTCAGTTGCAATTGTTGGTTTAGTGGGATGGTAGCAGAACATCCATATGTGAAGTAAAATGGATCATACTTGGTGGTGTGGTGGAGGAGGGTATGGTAGGCAAATAAGGTAGCAGGTAATAAGGTATCCCAAGTGGTTTTATATTCACCAACTAGTTTTGCCAAAGTAAAACAGAGCATTTTATTGAATCTTTCTGTGAGACTATTTGTCTGGAGATGGTAAGCGGCAGCTAAACTATGGTGGATGGTCATGATCTTACACAGTGCATCTATAATTTCATTACAAAAAGAACGTACTTGGTCAGACAGAAGGGTCTTTGGGCAACCATAGTGGCATATAATATTTTTGTAAATAAAATGAGCTATAGTAGGTGCTATCATATTAGGTATGGGACATGCTTCTGGCCACTTCGTTAAGTACTCCGTGGCCATAATGATGTAATAGTTTTCTGTTTTTGTTATATCTTTAAAGGGACCCACTATATCTATGCCCACCCTGTCAAATGGGGCTCCTACTTTAATGGGATGTAACTCTTTATGCAGCTTTGAGGCACCTTGCTGTTTATATACTTCACAAGTTTGTATGTATTCACTGATAATTTTGTATATTCGGGGCCAGAAATATTTATTTCTGGCCTTATTATAGGTTGATTCGACTCCGAAGTGTCTGGCCATTACATCTGAGTGGAGTCTATATAATACCTGCTCCAACTCATTCTCTTTGATCACTCGTAATGGCGGTCCATCTTCTTTTTTATTTTTATGACATAGTAAGTTATCCTGGATAAAGTAATAGGCAGCTTGTTTTTTAAACCTTTTCTGTTGTGATTGGTTTAAATCAGAAGGCGTTTCAGTAGTTTCCAAATATTTTTTTAGTTGTTGATATAATTGTAGATTCATACTAACAATGTTATGTTTTTTTTTTTTTTTTTTTTTTTTTTTTTTTATATTATTTCGATACTTTTACGATGCCAAGACACTGGTAACCTGGACTGCATTTAATCTGAAGCTTATAAGTTGTTGCTTCGAGCTATATTCCTAACATATTTTGTGTAGATTTTGTTTTTTTTTTTTTTTTTTCTTCTTCACGGGGGTTTGTGAGGAATCCGAGATAGGGCATTCACATTATTGTATATGGCACCCTTCCTATAGCGAATAGTATATGGATACTTAGCAGCAATCATAATCCACCTTGCAAGCCTACCGGTGGGTTGTGGGTTATTTAACAGCCATTTTAGAGCTTGGTGGTCTGTTACTAGTTCCAATTCTTTACCATATATGTAGGGACGAAAATACTGCATGGCCCATATAGCAGCCAAGCATTCGATTTTGGTCGCTGAATAATTTTTTTCAGGGTCATTTAAATCTCTACTGGCGTAAGCCACTACATGCTCTTTTTTATTGTTATCCTTCTGCGCTAGTATAGTGCCTAAACTGATATATGAGGCGTCAGTATATAAGATATAAGGTTTACTGAAATCAGAATAACATAAGATAGGGGCAGTTATCAACCTTTGTTTTAACCTTTCAAAAGCTTCTTGACACTGATTACTCCACTCGAAGGGGATATCCTTTTTCAAGAGGGTATTCAGAGGTTGTACTATCCCTGCAAAATTTTTCACAAACTTTCAGTAATACAAAGCTAACTCAATAAAACTTCGTAATTCAGTGAGATTGGTTGGCACTAGAAAATTTTAGACTTTCTCAATTTTATTGAGGTCGGGGGCAATTCCCTCCCCACTGATTAAGTGTTCCAGAAAGGATAATTGTTTTTTAAAGAAATGGTATTTATCTTTGCTGAGACATAGCCCAGCGTTTCTTAATAGTTCGAAGACTTGTTGAAGATGACATAAATATTCTTTAAATCACTTTGAATTGACATTGATGTCATCCAGATAAACTAATATGAATTTTCTATTTACAGGGTACAGAATCTTATTTATAAGCTACTAAAAGGTTGCAGGGGCATTAGTTAGCTCGAATGGCATAACTAAAAATTCATATAGTCCATCCTTTGTGACAAAAGTGATCTTTTCACGGTCCCATGGGCTCATCTCTATTTGCCAATAACCACTTGCTAAGTCCAAGGTTGAGAACCACTTGGATTTATATAATGAGCTGAGAATGTCATCAATGAGCTGTAATGAGTAGAAATCTTTTAAAGTTAAAGTATTCAGCCTTTGGTAATTAACGCAAAATTGAGTCTTACTATTCTTTTTCTTTACTAGTACCATGGGGGAACTCCAGAGACTTGTTGATTTCTGAACGATCCCATGTTTCAACATTTGTTTGACTTCTTGCACAATGAATTCGTTTTCCATATGGGAAACCCGGTATGGTCTTTGTTTTATGGGTTCTGATCCCTTCTTCAGCAAAATCTGATGCATTTCTCTCTTGTTCTTCCTAATCGTGTTAATCTATCTATGAACAAGTCTTTAATCATTTCTAATAATTTCTCAACCTGAATTTGTTGTTCTTTTTCTAATTCGCTAACTCTCTCTAGGTCTTTTTAGGTATCTCTAATTCCTTATTTAAATCATCAACCAGGCATTCTAATGTTTTCATTCCAACTGATAATTCTCGGCACTCAAAGCAACTATCCTCTGTGTGAGTTAATTGCTTTTCACAACAACACCTAGTATCTGGTTCTTTCTATCCACATTTTAAATTCTTTAGGCTACCACCTTGAACTTCTTTTCTTAATTGTCTATAACATTACATTGGTACTTCTTTCCCTTCTATACTGACATAGTCCTTCTTTATTTCTATAATAGATAACTTATCTTTATCTTCTTGAACGATATAACTTCTTTCCTCCTCTGCTGTATTGGATTCATATTTATCTGCCTCCTCTTTATTAACGACTTCCTCATCTTTACTCTTATTATCTAGGGGTACTGGTTTTCCTAAGACATGAGCCATTTTCTTCCAACATGTAATGGGTATTTTATTCCTTTCATCTTTCCACTCATATTCTAAAAACCCATGTTTTAAATCTATCTTTCTTTTCACTTTCGCTAACCAATCCATTCCTACAATTACTGTGTAATCCCATGCTTCTGTTACCTCTATGTTGATAGGTATTTTGATTCTATTTATTTCAATAGGTAAATCTTCCACAACACCTAGTAGGTGTTTTCTTTGCTCATATACATCAACCAAGTTCTGGGTTGATAGTTTATTAATGTCCTTACCAATTCTTTTTAGAAATTCATGCAAAACTAAACTTCTGCTCGATCCTGTGTCTAATATTAGGTAAATGGGATACTGTTCTACAGCAGCCTCACAATATGTTACTTCTATAGGTTGTTGAATAGCGTCCTGCGCCTCTATTCTATTATTGAAGATTAATGATACACTATTACTAGAGGGATCTACTGAACTTATTTCATCGGTACCCTCACCCTCGTGAGAAGTTGCCTTTAGGTATTTAAATGCTTGCGGAGGGTGGTTCCAATAGCTCCAGTGAGTTCCTCTGCCGACAGGGTAAAATAAATCTGGCTTCTATTACTATCATTACTAGGGTTGTTATTAGACTGGCTATTGTTGGCCTAACTTTGACTAGTTCTTTGCTAATTATTCGTTATAGGTCTCGCAGAACTGTTATCACTCCCCTGTCCATTCTTGTGATGATTTTGCTTGGTTCCTCCATTGTTGTTATTGGAGGGTCCCTTTGTAGAACATTCCCTGGCAATGTGACCTCGGCCTCCACATTGCCAACAAAGAATGTCAGATTGGATGGAACGTGGTTGTGTGGGTGTTTTTTGAGGTGGGTTGGATGAGGTGCTAGGGGCCATTTTCTTATTTTCATTTTGTTTTTGTGCTAGCATTTTCATATTCTGTGCCATTTCTGTGATAGCCTTTTTTAACTTCCCAATCTCTTCATTACCAGGGCCTTCACGACTTAGATAACTTCTCTTTAAGGAGTATGAGCTTAAGGGGCCTCTTCGAGAATATGCGGCTTCAGCAGCTTTTGCTTTCTTTAAGGCCTTCTGTAAAGGTCATTGGATATTCCATTTTTACCAGTTCCCTTAACTCTGTTCTTAGTCCATTTGTGAATTAGCATATGCGATCAATTTGTGGGTATCTTTTCATAAGGTCTGCTTTTTGGTACAACCTTTCCAACTCATCAAAATAAGTGTCTACTGTTTTTTTTAATCCTTGTTAGCGGGCTCTCAGTTCAGCTACCCATCGATTTTGCTGATGCATTGTGCAAAACTGCTGCTAAAAAAGGTAAACAAAAGAGTGTTGTGGGTAATTACAGTCATTTCAGGCCCAAACGTTACGGGCTCTGCCTCTCCACCAAGTGTATGCCGCTCCCTACAGGTGAGAGGATAAAATGTCGAACCTCTTTTGTTTAGTCATATGGTTAGCAACACAGACTTCATCGAATTCATTTAGCCACACAAGAGGGTCTTGATCACCACCATTAAATATTGGGAACTTGATCACTTTAGCTTCCCAGAGTTGATTCGTAGTATTTCCCATGGCAAGTATGAGGTTATTCATACTCTGCAGTAATTGATCTATCGGGTTTGCTGCGACAGCTCCGGGAGCTTGGTGTGGCTGGGTTGAGGTTGTTGAACGGGCGGGGAATTCTGTCGTGGGAGTAAGTTTAATGGTCAATTAGGACGTGGGAGTTGTTGATGTCTATTTACTAGCCGTCTTGGGGGTGGTGAGGTTTGCACAGGAGTGGGTGGGCATTTTTAGAGTGGTGGACTATTAACTTCGAAGTGCACATAGGGTGCCTGTAGGAAATGGTTGTCTTCTGGTTAAGTTCCCAGTTCTAATGGGTTCATAATGGGTTCATTAGTAACTTGAGGCCTAACATAACCATAAGCGTAAGTTCTCTCGACCCTCTGACGAAGATAGCAATCTTCGTATTCTTCGTGATAATCGTTACTTTCGTAGAGATTATCTACTACCACATTATATAAAGGTAAGAGTGAAACGAAATCTTTTGGATCGTGCACTATGATTTGTTTATTATCATTGTAATTGGCGTCATCCGGATAGGTTTGGTATGGGGTTGGGGAGGATGAATAAACATAATGAATTTGATCTTCAGATATTTCTGGTAATGCCCTGGGCTCCTCCAGGCTAATAAGATCATTTTTGTTTCTCATTCTATTTTGGGATTCGGGTCTGGTGTTATAATACTCTAGTCATTTTTGCCTTTGGGCAGCGGCAGTAGACGTTTTTGCTTGTGGACTGGTAGACATATTCAAGATTGATGGGGCCGATGCGTCTTTTGAATCTTCCGATGAGGTAAAAGAAATTTCTGATCTGGTTTGAGCATTAATTCCATTGTCAATATCGGGTTCTGAAAAAATATATAATCACAGAAAACTCATATAAAAGTCTTTAACTTTCTCTGTGGCAACCCGGTCCTGTCATTGTCACCAAGTGTAATCGAAATATTCGATTAGTAGGTCAAGCGCTTCAGGTTTTTAAGAGATTTTAGTTTTTTTATTATAGAATAAGTATTTGAGGCATCCGAATGCTGCCTCTACAAAGGTCTTTTTACATGTCTTTTTATAC